AGGCTCCTATTTCTTGAATAGCTTTATAATATGGTGTTCTGATATATGCATACATTGTGTAATGTCCAATCAGGGAGAACGTACCTGTCTCCCCAAACATTTATCATCCATTGTTTTTCCTACAAAGTGTCCACAGTATACAGGGTAAACCGACAAGTCATTACAATGAATAGAGTGATAAAGGTGTGCAACAGGATCTATGTGCTTGAGCTTTATAGGAGGAATTGGCCTGAAGAAAAGCTTGTGTTAATTTTTTTATTTCCAGACTGATAGCTTTTCAAAATTTTTGGAAGTTTATTCATTTTGAGGCTCAGTCATACTAAAAATTCTTGACACTTCCTTGTTTTTGTCTTCTATCACTTTCTCAAGTTACTTAGTCTTATTCTATGAAAATATTAAAATTTGGCTCAAGAATGCTAACTCTGACTTTTGCAGTTGAGACTCATCTAAACTTAATTGGGGTGGACGTTTGCTATAACAGTTGAAATGCCATTTGCGATGTCCATATCCCTATCAAAGAGTCTTGTTTTGAGTCCTAGAACTGCTAATATACACTCTGGTAGGCAGCAGGTGATGGCTCAAATACTGGGGTCTTTGATGCCCACTTAGGAGACTTGGATTGAGTTCCTGTCGGATTTTGGAGAGTGAACTACCAGGTATGAGCATTCACTCTGTCTTTGTCTCTCTCTGCTTTCTGTCTTTAAAAAATAAATAAATAATTTTTAAGAATGCAACTTGACATGTCTAGGGAAGTATAATGCCTGCAATAACTCAATGTAAAATCGAAGTAATCAATTGAGGACTTATTCATGGAAATGGCCAGACTCCAACTCCACTTCTGATATCTACAGGATAGTGTGTGGGATTTTGACCTTCTTTAACATGGATGCATCTCATAAATATTAAGGTCCAACATTTCCTTTCTGACTATACCTTCCCATTCCTTTAACCAGTGGTTAAATGAAGTTGATAGCACCAAGGGAAGATTTGTGGTGTATAGTATCTGAAACCTACATAATTTCCAGGACCCTATCTAAGAGAAATCATACAGGGGACTACATTTGGTACAGGGGGCTAAGCTTCTGCTTGCTGGAATCTCATATCATAGTGAAGTAGGCAGGCATACAGGTTAAAATTGATCAGATTTGTGAACTGGAAGACCACGCCTTTGCCACGCCCCTGTGTGACCTCATGCCCCTACCTGATGCCTTCGCCACGCCCTTGTGTGGCCTCATTCCCCTACCTGGTCACACCTGGGTGCCCACCAGCTAATCAGGTTAATTAACCACTCCCCTTTGGAAATGGGTTAAAAGCCTGGGGCACAGTGTGTCCAGCCCTGCTCTTTTTCCCTGGCCTCTTGCTAGGAAGGGGCTTGCTGTAGCCCCACGCCTCCAGGGCGCATGGCCTTCTGGCCACGTGCTCTAGGCTTCCTGGCCTAGATGCTCATCCACGTGGCTGGTTCCTGGTGTTTGGTATGAACCCCTATTTACCTCTCTTAAATAAAGCTCCACTCTCCTATGCATCTTTCTCACTAAATAAAAGCTTAAAAGCGTACCATGCTGCTTCATTTATCTGTGCCGGTATTTAGAATTCTTCTCTAAATATTAGGCAAGAACCCTCTTGGGCTTATTAATATTGGGGATTTAGTAATAAGCCCACGGTGAAATCATATGGCACCCCAAATTCCGGTAGCACATGTGGCACCCCAGATAGCATTTCTAGGGAACTTTAAGGGGCCACATTCAGTGTAAATTTTAGGGGGTCTTCTCCTATTTCAATAGGACCAGTTGAAGTTGCAGCTGCTCTGTTTCCCATCTGGCTCCCTGCCCATGCACCTGGGAAAACACTAGTGGAAGGACCAAGTACTTGGGTTCACCCACCTGGGAAAACTGGTTGGTATTCTGGGCTCCTGGCTTCAGCCTTGCCCAGCTCCAGCCACTGTAGCTATTTAGGGAGTAAAACAGTGAATGGAAGATCTCTCTCTCTCTCTCTGCTTTTCAAAAAATCTTTTTTTAAAATAAAAAAAAAGAAAAAATGATACAACATTGCAAATGGACAAGGACTTGTAAAACTGAATCTTTATCATATGACCTTAAAAATAAGTCATTAAAATTTAAAAGCATACAAATGACACATTAAGAAATCATTAACAATAACATTTTAGCTAATGAATGAGTTGTGCCCATAATTCATTTTGGGGGGTAATTGTTAGCTGCATATATTTGGTTGCATTATTTGCTTCTTTAATTGGTCACTGATTTACAATATTTTTAAAGAAAGGATAGAGGGATAATATAGTTGGGTGGCAGTCTTTCATTTAGCTTGGTAAACAACAAAGTATTTTATTAAACTTAACTTATTGAAGCAGAACACAAAGAAAAGTGTAGCAACATAAGGGTGTGGCTTAATGGCTTTTCCCAGAGTGAAATATCTGTAGAATGACCAGCTCTCAGGAAGCCCCTGCTGTGTTCCTCCTGTCATTGCAGTTTCCTCTGTAAAGGTCTCCACCCTGATTTATAACCGCATTATACATTTTTATGTGAATTTTCCAGGTAGTAATCTTTCCATGTTGTTGAAATTCTATAATTGCAATTGCTTGGGATGTAGAGAAATTTTTGTTTGTCTGTCTGTTGTGCATAGTTTCTTTTGCCAATTACTATGTCCATGATATTCCTTCATTTTGTTGCACATAGAATAGTGTACGTATCTTCATTGCACAGTGAGGCATTATAGAAAAGACCCAGTTGTTTTACATCATTGCCAGTGCCAGTTATTGGCAGTCATTTTGATTTTGGCTGTATAGGGAAGTGCAATGTTATCATAGTTTGGCCAAATTTGCATCATAATTTATCGGTCATTTGAATATCTCCTTTTGAAGTACCTAATCAAGTCTCTTTCTCTCTCTCTTTTTTTTTTTTTTAACATTTTTTTCCTTTTGGAGTTATCTGATACATAATGCTGATTTTAACCCACTAGATGAAATGCCCATCCCCAAACATTGTTTGTGTTCCACAACCCACATATTTCTTGTGCTGAATGGTCTGGGACACATTCATTCCATGATTCAGTCTCTGGCCCAGCATTTGCGCATCATGATTTTGATAGATCTGCACAGTAAGTGGTCAGAGTATTCTTGGAAGCTATTCCTACATTGGAATTGTTAGCAATAACTTAACTGTACATGGAAGTAACTTCAAACTACATAAATAGATCTCATTAAGTCCAAGCTAAATGTTTTCTTCACTCAAGTTCCTCTTAGTTAGCTCCCAAAATACTTGCTCCACTCCAAAAGCACCCAATACAAGCAATATGATTGAGGCGGTGGCAAATAAAAGAAGAATAAATTTTACCCTATACTTTCTCAATGGGACAATAGAAAATAATGTATGCAAAACTCAGTTATTGGGGGAGTGAAAAAACTAAAATACAAGTATCTTTAATACATAAGCAGATATATAGCCATGGATGACTATCACCATCTCACAAGTGAGCACAGGCAACTAAGAAAATATGTCCAAAGTTCTTGCTGCAGAGGGGCAGTAACTTTTTTTCATATGTTGAGGGACACTATTTTGACCAGTTGATATTAAAATGTCTTACTTTACTAATTTTACCAAAACATAATGCCCTATATACATTAAGTCTTTTCTGATGGACTGTGTAGGAACTGAAACAAATGAGGGGCTATGAAGCCAAGGCTCCATTTGCTTCATGATCAAGCCATCCAGAGACACACACTGCAGCAAGATTTGTGAACTACGAGGAGCGCACATAGCTTTTCTCCAGCAGTGGGGATTCCCATCACAGATGTTAACCAATGAAAACCAACAGATGAAAAATTAACCATATCAACTTATTTTCAGTGGCACTACTTTCTCTCTGCCTTCAAATGCAGGTCGAAGGAGATTCCTCAAAGTAGTGACTGGAAAGGACTGAGTAGAAAGAGTGCACTAAACCACAAGAAGAGAGGAGAGAGGCCACAAAGTCAGCTCAGATTCTAATTTAATGACCTACCTGCAGGATCCTACCAATGGTCCCCAAGGAAGCAAGTGTGTAATTATGTAGCTGTTTAAGTATTTATGAAAATATGAAGGTTACATCAAGGCTATAGATATTATATTACCCCTGGCACTGGACTTCTCTAAATCTGTACCTCTGCACCAATATCTCCTGTACCTCCTTCAAATACCTTCTCCATTTCACAAACTATTACTATTCTTCACACCAATTCCTCATCATATCAATCTTTCTTTACTCTCCCATGTTTCTAATAATAGTTATGAGATTTAGTATTATCATTATTTTTTAGAAAGTCCTTCTTCTGTAGTCTATGTGTCATTTGCAATAAAATGTGTCTGATATAAGCCAAGTAGAACAATGCCTGTATGAATTACTAGATATGAGGAGTACTTAGAATTTGCTACCATTTTCAGGCTTTAAGAGAAGAGGATAGAGAGTGCTTAGACAATAAAAAGAGCAATAGCTCTATTTTATAATAGTTAGGTTGTAATTATATACCAGATCAGGAGTTGACTAAAAATCAATAGGAACACACAGATATGCTCCAAGTTCCTATCCTATTAAATTATTACAGGTGCAGTATCATTAGTTTCTTTACTCAAATTAAGAAAATTACACTCTGTTGCATATTGTGTGTTTTATGAATAACCATGATATAATTTTGATTGTATCAAAAATTAGTATTCAATGACTAGACCTCAGGAGGGATCCATATAGAGATTATATTGCTCTCTTTGCTTGATTTTGTTCCTGAAATCTTGTTTAACTTTGCTCAAGTTTTTTTTTTTTTTTTTTTTTGTGGTGCGGGCTGTAAGACATGTTCCTTATATATGGAAGAAAGATCTAAGCAATGAAGACAGAGGTAATTCATATTTTAAAGCAAAGGTAATCATTTTTATGATGTGAAACATTTAAAGTATCATAATGGTATGTTCAATTTGCTTTAAATAACTGTGAGAGAAGAGTTAAATGCAGCTTACCCTTCTTGCCAATTGGCCCAGTCTTGCCAATATTGCCCTGGGCTCCTATATCACCCAGTTCACCTTTAATTCCTGGGAAGAAAAGGATATCATCTTTATGTCATAAGGTTTTATCTGCTCCTTAAAGATGTGCCTATATGATATTCACCTGGAGGAAACATCAAAAAGTGTATTTATGTACCTGTGATATCTAACATATATCCTGTGCTATATTATCTACTTTAACAGATATGATTATTGTATTAAAATGAAAATGTACATGTGTATAATGCTGTTGGACATGATGATATTAAATTATTACTGATGCAGTATTCTAGAATGGCTATAGCAGTGATGTCTAAAGGTTAGATTAGGGTGAGTGGAAGCAGCATTGAACTTTATTTTGGATCTGTTCTTTAGAACCATTTTGGCTTCACTTTTAAATTCTATTTTCTTGTTCTTAAAACAAGTCTTGACAACATTAGCCAATTTAAAATAGAGAAAGGAATGTGTAATCATAAAGTGTTGTGATCAAAGAGGTAGTAGATTGTCCTGCTGAGTTTTTAATCCAAAAACCTATGATGAAGGATCACTGAGTTCTTCCAACATTGTTATTTATCTTTTTTATGATGAACTACAAAATACTTACTAGTTATAAGCTTTATTTTTTGAGAATGATTTTGCAGTTGGTATACATATTTATGAAGTTAGTTTAAATCAGCATTTCTTAAACTGAGGGTGTGTGAGTGCTTTCTTTCTTTTAAATTATTCAACATTTAAAAATAGTGATCTAGGGCAACCCCATCTTGTGCAGTTGGGGGTAATAATTCAACTCCTCTGAAGATACATGTCTACCCAACCCAATCCAGCCAGCAGCTATGTTTTAGAGTCCTGTGAGTGGAATCATTGCCTAATAGCCTTGGTGCTCTTCCCATCCCCTTTGCTCCTACTGCACATTCTACCATTTGTCCCACTGTGTTGTTCTTTTATACAAGGAAAGGAGAGTTAGAAGATCAAGAGATCTTAGGGAATGGTAAATATATCAGTGGGCTGGGCAGTTCTTCCTGTTCCTTTCCATCTCCTCCTTTGACTCTAGGCAGCCAAGCAAAGTTGTTGAGTGGGGGCTACTGAGAGGAGATCCAGTTATGAGCACGGCTATGTTTCTGAAACCCAGAGTTTCTTTAGAATTTGCCAACCAAAAAATAATGGTTACAATAAATTCTAAGAAATAACATTTTAAAAACTTTAAAAATAAACTATAAGTTTCTTGGATATTCCCAGAGACTACAACTCCCTGGGGATCCCAGAGTGTCCCTCTCCAACCAGCCTTGAGGATTCCTCTTGAGATGTGGTTCCATGTGGTGAATTAATTCATGTCTGAAACACTTTTCATGCATGTTGGGAGCTGAAGGCATTAGGATAGCTGCTAATTTCCTGGGAAAGAACTTGGAGAGAGAGAACAGGACAACTCTAACATTATGGGGCAATTTTATCAGTTTACCTACCTTTGGGCCCCCTGCGCCCCATTTTGCCATACTTTCCCTCTTCTCCAGGATCTCCTTTTTCACCATCATCTCCTTTTAAGACAAAAAACAAGAGAGTGGAGCAGCTCAAACAGCAGCATACATACATTCTCCACCATGGTAAGGTGAACATGGTTAGACTCCATCCCTTAAGTCAGTGCTTCTATCTAACTCATATGTGAATCTGAATATAGGCTCACAAGGGCTGAACACTCAGGTTAAAAAAAAACACTTCCTATGTATTTTCTCTTTCCCTTTCACCAGCACCCATCTCCATGTTTGAAAAATAGTCTGCTGTTAAATCTCTGAAAAGTTTGTTCTGACAAAGCTTTATTCTTGCTGTAAAATTCTAGAAGCATAATATACACCACTATACATACTCTAAGTACCTGTGTTATGTACATATAAATATGTACCCAAATGTCATATTATAAACATGTAATCCATATGTATGCATATATCTATACATTTATACATGTGTATTAACATTACATACTTATTGTATATATATATACATAATCTACACATTTTGCATACTTATCATACATAGTATTATTTACACATAATCATAATATATGCATATCAATATGTGTATATTACATACAAAGAATATAATATGTACAAATATCATAATATAGACATGTCACATATGACATAGACATATGTCACATATATACACACAAATATAATATGCTTATATAAATATCAATATTCATACAGTATACAATATACTTAAATACATAATAAATATACATATATGGTGTATTTTGTGTTATATATGTACATAGTATTACATGGATTGCACACATATATGTAGTATGTACATAAATTTATTATCTCTGACCACAATGTTGGGAATCCCAAAATTGTAACAGGAAGCTGAGCTCAGGAGACAAGGAGTGGCAAACAGCTGTAAAGCAGTCCTGTTCAAGTAGCAACTGCTTAGTCACAGGTGTATACAGCTCCAACCTCCTGAACATTCAAGAGAGACTGAGTGATGGTTTAGAGAAAGCTACTCTGGTCTTCGAATATGGAGTCTTCTTTCAATATCATGTTAGTAACTGATGGGCTGAGTAAATTGGCTTTGGATTAAGACAAGCTGAGACTTGGAGAGGATTGAATACACAACCTCTGCCCCTGAGTCTCACTTTCCTCTCCTGCAGATGGAGTTAGTAATACCTTCTAAAGGGGGCTCCTAAGAAATTCTCCTAAGAAGCTATACACAGAAGACCCAGGGCACACTCAGTATTTAGCCATAGTAGGGCTGCACATTTCCTCCTCTAAGTTTCAGTTTCTTCATCCTTAATATCTGCCCCCCATAACTGGCTCAGTTGTTTTAGTATCAACACAGAAGCATTTGAATGTGCTTTGAAAATAAAGAGCACAGCACCCATAATATTATGAGCCAATACCTCCATTATGCAGCAATCTGAGGACGTGAAGGAATCCTGTCCATCAACAGAGGAAAGAAAGAGAAACAAAGACTTCCAAAGACAAAAATGAATTTCCTGTGGTCAGAGTTCGGGAGAGAGAATGTTGAGATGTCCATTGATTTACCCAGAAAAAAAAATATGATCAGTGATGATTTTTTTTTTTTTTTGAGAGCAGAATGTTAAAGCTTTAAGTGAAAGCCTGAGCAATAGATGAGATAGTCATGTCCAGCTTGTGAGATGAGCCAAGCATTGGAATGCTTTATGAGGGAAGCTAGAAACTCCTTCTGGGGAAGGCTTTCAGAAAAGAACAGATGGCTTTGGCAGTCAGAGCAGAGGGGTGAAGTGGGGGATTAGGCAGCATTTTTCTAGTAATTATACAGTGTGCCAAGCACTGTGCTAAGAACTTGACATTTAACCATCACAGCAATTCCAGAAATGGAAACTCTGCTACATTTAATAAATGGGGGAAAAAGCAGACTCCATGAGGTTAGGTTGCTTGCCTATTGTTATAGAGCTTGTTGGAGCTGAACAAGGATCCAGCACATGTTTTCACCCCAGTAGACTTCTAACAGGATACAGTCTCTTTCATCCTCAGGTTCTATGACTCTTAGCAGATGGTGGATTTTAGAGAATCTGGCCCTTTACCAAATTTTCAGGGCAAAAAGAGGAAATGCAGAAAGATGACAGTTTTTATTCCCTTTTAAATAAGAAAGATAGTGGGAGAGAAAGAAAAGTTTATTATCTCAAGGACTTAATTTAATGGAAATGTATCCTTGAGGTGGGTCAGTATAATTGAGATCTGGCTTTGCTACTCCCTCAGCTAAGAGACCCTGGGGAGTCCTTTAAATTTTCATTCATTTGTAGAAAGGACAAAATAACACCTTTCTTCAGAGAAATTTTAACAAAGATAAAGTTAGAAAGGTATTTCCTACAAGAAGCCCTGTCTAACAGTCTTAGGCTGAGCTAAATTCTCCTCTAATTACCTTTGCTGTCAGAAATGCCACTTTATTCTGAATGTATCACTTTCTCTCTGCTATCCTTTTTGTCCCTTTTGACCTGAGATATGACTGGGTTCATAAAGATTCATTCTAGCATCTCTAGAATTTGGTGTGGCACTTGGCTGTAGTGTTTGATACATATAATACAATTAAATATACTTTGTGTGAACATAAAACATTTACAAATGTGATCATAGTGTTTATTGAGTATTATGTGCCAAAAGTATTCTCACTACATGACATGCATTCCATCACTTGATCCCCATAGCAACCTTTGAGTTCATTACTATCCTTGGCTTCATTTTACAAGAGAGAAAATGGGGTTAAAGAGAAGCTAAGTAATTCACCAATAGTTACATAGCTCATAAGTGGTAAAGACAGCATTCAAGCCAGAGCATTTGTTTTGAGAATCCAGGCTCTGAACAAGCTATATTATTTGGAACACATTTCTGTGCTATAATTTCAGAGTCTTGGGTGACTTTTCCATGCAATATAACTAACAAGGCATATCCTGCCCAGTAAAAAGCAAGATCATAAAGCCACATGTATGTGAGCTACAGATGTCATTTTTATTTGCTCTCTTCTTCCGCTTTCCCTTCCCCATTCGCTTTCAAGCCTAAGTCTTAAACGGAAGGCAGCCAGGTAAGGGACTTAGTCATCTGCTGCTCCCTGGTGGCTCCTGATGGAGAATCTGGGAGGGTGAATGCAGGATTGTTATTCTTATGACCTATATGACTGCATGGGAGCCTGATGGTAAGCTAGTTGCTAGCAGAGGTGAAGTAAACAACTCATGCCCTTGCCTTCAGCTTGGGTTCTGGGTTCATCTGATCTTCGGGACTTGCTTTAATGAGAACAGAAGGGAGACACAAAGCAGTTTTGGAAAGGACTCCCTACATGACTCACAGTTGTCAGCTTCTATCCTCCTGGCCATATTCACTGGAATAGCAGGGCAATTTAGACATCCTGTCCTTCATTACTGAAGAGCTACTTACATTTGAAAATTAAATGAAAAGCTATAAACTGAAATAAACTAATTCCAGTTTTACAAAAATGATCTGCTTGGTCCCTCCAGCAGAGTTCCAACAGGGCATTGAATAGACCAAGTTTTCTTAGGCTGATGTTCTTCACAAGCAAAACACCTTTTAAAAATTGAATTACACTTTGAAACTGAATAGTCAAACCTGGATTAGTACCCTGTACTTAAGGGTAGTTATTTAGTAGTAAATTAACAATTCACCCAATTTACCAGTCCCTTGCTGCCTTCCCTTCCCTTCCCTTCCTCCTTATCCTGAATTGTTCAACTCCATTGCTTCCTTACTCCTCTTTCTAGGGCAAAGGTGGTGGCATTGCAGTGTTAAAAATGGTCTGAAGCAAGACATTTCATTTCTCTGACTCTTAATTTCCTCATACATATATGGAACAAATAATCCCTACCTCACAGGATGTTTGGGAATTACAGGCGACAATAAATGAACCGAGTTCAACGCAATTCCTACTCTATTCAGTAAACTCATCTGTTGTCTGCTTTATTGAGAGCAAAAAAGAACTATAAAAGGGGTTATTCCTTTGTGTTCCAGACCTCAGTCCCATCTTATAATCATTACTTTTTTGTTCAACTATGTATCTTTTTATTCCTATATTATCAACATGTTCATATAGTTAAAGATAGAGGTATATACCCATTACTGTGATTTAATAATTTGCATGTTGTCAGTGCTTCATCTACTTATTTGTGCTGATTTTTTTCTCAAAAAATGCAGATTGCAGACATGACATATGTCCCTGAAATACTTCAACAAGTGTCTCAACAACTGAGCTCAACAGGTGAGAATGCTCATCTATAAAAACATAATACCAACCTTACTTTTTAATGGGCTTTATTTCAAAAAGTTGGTGGAAAATGGAGTGAAAAGATAAGCTTACTGTGTACAAGAAATTTTTGAAATCCATGCTTACTTTTTTCATAGCATGCATTTTCCAGAAACATTCTCAAGAGTCCTCATATTGGTTAACATCCTTGTGATAGCATTCTGTGATCTCATTTATCTTGAGCCTATACTACTGTGCTACTTGTAATAAGAAAAAAAGTGAGCACTCAGGAAGAGAAGTAGAAATTCCAAAGAATAAGCCTAGGTCTTTTGAAGACAATCCATGAAGCATAATTCAACTTTCTCTTCTGAAAGAACTACAAATAGGTCAAGAAACACCATGGGCATTTGGAAGAAGACTTTGGTCATTCACTACAGGCCAGTCCAGGTCACCCCTGGGAAGAAAAGACAAAAGACTGACAAACACTATGGGCTCCAATCTTACATATCCTGAACTCAAGGCCTCATGTGATGCTTGCCTGGTTTGTGAAAATCAGGCATGATATTTAACCTTTCAAAATCTCTGTTTTCTTATCTATCATCGGGAAAAGCCAGACTACCTACTTGATCTAATCTCCCCCCTTGGGGATTGTTCCCTTTCTCTGACATACATGCTATTATGATTATAAATCAATCAGAGTTTTGTGATGGAAACTGCAGATAGAGGAAGAAATTGATCAAATGTTTCTCCGTGTTACCTGTCAGATGTGGTTTGGAGCAGTGTCCACTATAACCTGTACCACTCTGCTAATGTT